TCTGCTGCACCAAGGATTGCAAAAGAGAATGGAGGACACCATGAAGCAGGACTGGAAGAAACGAGGGCTTACTCAAAAGTTTTACTTTATTTATTTTCATGAAATCTTACAAATATTAATTATGATGTGTTTAGGTTCATATCTCCTCATTGACTTTGCACTTTTTTCTGCTCAAAGACAGGCAGAAATATTCCAACTCCTGCCAACTGAAAGCTCCTTTCCTCTTTAGCCCTTTAATAATTGATAAAAATGTAAAGTAAATAACATGGAAACAGAGTGAAAAGTGCTTGAATATTTATATATTCCACCTGTTAACGTTTGACATTGAGTTGACATTGTTTGTCCTAGGCAATGCTTTTGAAGCATGGCAAGTTAATGTTATGCAGCTCCCTCAAACTGTAGAGTCCAGAGAGGAGTTGGTGTAACCATGATATATGTAGACCAAAATTCTGTTTTTACCCTTGTTGCAGGAAGACCGTCCATTAGTTGCATCTGCGCTTGACATCAGCTAAGCAGCCATCGGCTGTCATGCTGAGTTGGCGTCACAGCACACAGCATGAGAAATTGACCCTTTTTCTCATGATCACAGGCGTGAATCTGGTAAGTTTTGACTTTTTATGTAATGTTAACAAAAAAATATCAATACATTATGGTAGAGTCATGTTGGGTAAAAGTTTATTTTGGTATTTGTTTCTGCTAGGGGGTTACTTGTCATATCTTTACTCTCTCTATGCTACCTCCACATGCACCGCTTATTGCTTGATCCTAAAATATGTAGTTGTGTGTTGATTTTAGTGGAGGGAAGTGAGAGAGGCAAATCATCAGAGAGTCAGTTACGGTAATGCTATTATTTATTTCATTTGTCTGGTACAGTTGTAGTAAAATAGGAAGTGATGCTGGTTCTTGTCCAAAGGGATGTGCCTGGACTTGAAGCTGGCCACCTGTAACATAGAAAGTTCATTCGATGAGTTGGCGTCACTGTGGTACAGATGGACCAGAACACGTTTGTGTTGAACTCTGAGATAATTTAAATTTACTTAAATTTTTTTCATTCTTTTTCAGGTCACCAAAGTCGCCCCAAGTCACCAGCAGAAACAAGCCAGCTACTTGAGGAAGACTTAAGATTATAATGTTAGAAACAATAAAGAATTAAAATACTATCCAACATTTTATATGATTTCATAGACCTGATTCTACGCTGCAGTAACTGTGGATGTAGTAGCAGACTGCCACCACTACCGCAGTGACGTCAC